TCAATTTATTTAATTTCTTTTGTATTTGGGATTTGCCCCCCCCCCCCTTTTTGTGGACTTCATCGTTATTTGTGAATTAGTTGACTGAAGCTTCTATAGCCCTAAGGAGCCTATTACAGCCTAAGGAGGTATTACATAAGGGCTAGCCCCCATTATGTAATACCACCTAATATCTCTGTTTTTATGTAAAATATCTACAGTATGTAATTATGTGATATCTAACATTAAAACCACTTGATCTTACCGGATCTAACGAAGATCTATTTGTCTGAATGTTTTTTGGCTAGGAAGTTTACCATGGGGGAGCTAGCCCCCCTCATTAATCACTTAATTAGTCTGTAATTATGTGAGATCTAACAAAACAACTAGTTGATCATACCTTATCTAACAAATAGCTTCCAAAATAGCTGTTTGGGCAATAAGGGGGGATTAGCCCCAGGGCCGCTGCAAGGATTTTTGCCTCCTCAGGTGAAGGTGCATTTTTCCGCCTGAGTAGGCAAAAGAATGACCATCATCAATTCTGATGACTATCAGAATTTGGAAAAAGAATGACCATCATCTTCTGAAGCCCTATATGTAAAGCCACAGGCATTGACGCCCCACGTCTATTACCATGGAGCACCCCAATACAAGGACAACCCCCTTAGATCTTCACTAAAGATAGCATAACTAACAGCACTGACAATGTAACAAAAGTATTTGCACTGACCGCCAATGTAACAAAGGTATTCACACTGACCGCCAATGGAATGAAAGTATTCACACTGATCACCAATATAACGGAGTTATTAACACTGACCGCCAATGTAACAAAAGTATTCACACTGACCGCCAATTTAACAAAGGTATTCGCACTGACCGCTAATGTAACAAAAGTATTCACAATGACGAAAGTAATCACAGTGACCGCCAATATAACGAAAGTGTTCACAATGACCGCCAATATAACAAAATTGTTCACAATGACCGCCAATATAACGAAAGTGTTCACACTGACCGCCAATATAACGGAGGTATACAACATACACATACTTAAACATATCTTTTTCTTACAGTATTCAGGCTGGTGGGTGGTACTTCATCAGGACATGGAGTGCCATCCAGTCCAAGAATACTGTGAGCCCTGGGGGGGTGGCCCGGCGGGTGACAGCTTCAGGGACAGTGCAGGCTCTGGAGAGAGCACACAGCAGAGGGAACAGGGGGCGGGGCTCAGACTATAGAAGACTGAAGCTCAGAGCCCCGTCCATGCTGCTGCTCCTGTGAATGGGAGGCGGTGTTTTTCCACCCTCTCCCACCAGCGCCCTCAAGTGGCCGCTTGTGCTGCTTGTATGGTAGCGCCGGCACTGATTAGCCCCCCAGAAAATAACTTATCTCTTCTTTTATGTGAGATCTATTGCAAACTACAATTGATCTAACAAAGTACCAATGAACTCGGTGACATAGCGAAGTGGGGGCGCGGGGACTTGCCCCTGGGCGCTGGTCTGAAGCGGCACCGGGCAGGTGTTTTTTTCTTCTCTCTTTTCTACATTCAGCCCTGCTTCAGGCAAAGAGAGCTAAATGTAGAGCGGTGGGGCCGTTTTCTACAAGTGATTTCAGTGGCTGTACAGCCTCTGAAATCACTTGTATGCAGCCTACTTGTCCGTCCCACCCTCCATGGCCCGCCCTCCCCGCCGGCCCAATTCCTCTGCGCTGTGGTTTTCAGGGTCCCCTGCTCTTCTGGGGGACCCCGGACCATGCCAAATGCCTTCAGGATGGAGAGCGGGGAGCAGAACGGAGAATGTATGTTCCCCGCTCTGCTCTGTGAGCAGTGACACAGGACCACTGTACTCGCAGCACCCCTGTGTCAGCTGTCACAAGTGGAGCTGTGCAGAAGAGAGAGCACATGTATTGGAGGGCAGGCTCATAAAGAGAACCTGTCACCTCTGAATGCTATCACACAGGGGATTGTTATCCCCCTGTGTGATAGCAATACAGTTAAGTGAGAAAAGTAAACAAATGAAAAAAAGTGATCAAAAGTCTGCGCAGCCCACCTGAGACCCCCGCGCAGCCCACCTGAGACCCCCGCGCAGCCCACCTGAGACCCCCGCGCAGCCCACCTGAGACCCCCGCGCAGCCCACCTGAGACCCCCGCGCAGCCCACCTGAGACCCCCGCGCAGCCCACCTGAGACCCCCGCGCAGCCCACCTGAGACCCCCGCGCAGCCCACCTGAGACCCCCGCGCAGCCCACCTGAGACCCCCGCGCAGCCCACCTGAGACCCCCGCGCAGCCCACCTGAGACCCCCACAGCCCACTTGAGACTCTGCACAGCCCACCTGAGACTCTGCACAGCCCACCTGACACTCTGCACAGCCCAACTTGAGACTCTGCACAGCCCAACTTGAGACTCTGCAAAGCCCACCTGAGACCCCCATAGCCCAACCTGAAACCCCCACAACCCACCTGAGACTTTGCACAGCCCACCTAAGACCCCACACAGCTATCCTAAAACTCTGCACAGCCCACCTAAGATCCCACACAGCTTTCCTGAGGCTCCGCACAGCCCTCCTGAGACCCTGCACAGCCCACCTGTGACCCTCGAGACATCAGGTTGCCACCCTGGAGCAACACAGAGTATGTAGCTTCATATTATTCTGCATTGCTGTATAATGTCTTGCTGGGATTTTTAGTCCCCTATAGCTGGTGGTATTCTGCATTGCTGTATAATGTTTTACAGGGATTTGTAGTCCTCTATAGCTGGTGGTATTCTGAATTGCTGTATAATGTATTGCTGCATGGCAGGCCTCCATGGTGGAACAATGTTTATAGACCCGCTTCTGTGCTCTCTTCTTTTGATGCGACGGCACCCCCTCCTGATCCACCACAGCCCTGTACCCCTCTGTGCACTAGATATATTTGTAAACTATAACACAGGGGTAGGCAACCCCAGCACTGCAGTTTCTGTGGAACTACAAGTCCCATGAGGCATTTCAAGGCTCTGACAGCCACAGAGGTAGAAGCATGATGGGATTTGTAGTTTCAGCACAGTCAGAGTACCAAGGTTGCCTATCCCATTGTGCTATAGATGTCCAATAACAAATGCCTTCTGATGTTAACCTAATTGCATCCATTGCAATGACTGGCTATGATGAGGGGAAATGCAAAATCAAGCTACAATGCCCTTTATTTTAGGTTTTGCCACCTGAAATGCCATCAGATAAAAAAGAAACTAATTACACGTAACATGGCATGGATACTGGGGATTCTAAATTTTTGAAACAGCATCGTGAATAGAGTCAGGCTGCTGCTATCCTGCCTGGTATAAGCTCTCAGGGGGTCAAGAAAACAAAGAGCATTCATTTTGTTGTATTTATGAATTCCAACAGTTCATCGTTGCAGTTTATATTCAGTTTATGTAGACTGGAGTTCCTCTTTAAATCCGCTCATTGGTGTTTAACTCCTGGCATAATGAGCCCGTGTTGTGTGTAAGTCCTGCTCATCCCCCCACCCCCTCCAGAGGTTGGATGGCTGTCTCTGGCTCTAGTCTCATTGTGTCATTGCTGTGCTGCATGAAACTGCAAGAGAACTGCTGGCAGAGAAGGGGGTCTGGGCTGGTGAAATGGGCTCCTGGCTACCCAGCCTTGGCATCCCATTACACTAATGTAAGAAGGGGGTGTCCAGGGCTAGGGGGGAAAGGGGGGCTGTTTCCTCCTTGCTTGGGGGGGTATGTATGTTTTCAGGCAAAGTTGGTTACCTCCTCTCTCCCTCCTTGCAGGCTGGCACCTGACAAGACTGGAGTCATCCTAGACATCAGCACCCTGAAAATGAATGAGCTGGAGACTGAGGTGCCCCCGCTGCCCCCCAGATACCGCTTCAGAGACCTGCTTCTGGGGGACCAGAGCTTCCAGAACGATGACAGGTAAGAGAGAGGCTGCTGTGTGCAGGCAATGTGGAGCTCTCCATGGTGCTGAAACTGTAATGTGCATCCAGCAAGCTCTGCACATATTCCACCTTCCCTGTTTCCTCTGCTGATATACCAGACCAAATCCACACCATGACCTTTTCTCATTCAACCGGATCACTACACATTATGCACATCTGGGTATAAATTTATACGATAAGATCTGCTCTACAGTTCATATGGCATTGCTTATAAAAATGGCTTTTGTTATCATTTAAATAACAGCATATTTATAGTCTGAGAAATATTTATGTAGATGTAGTATAGTGTGTGTTTGTATATGTTTGTAAATTAATCAACCTTTCATGGTCAACGTTGGAAAGGTCAACATTTGTGTGACTTTTCAAGACTTTTCTGATCTCTCTCTCTCTCTCTCTCTCTCTCTCCTCCTATTTTTTTTATATTTCTGTCTACACATCACACATAAATATTTTTCAATAGATTATAATACACATTATGTTCAAATGGCATATTCAAATGGCTTTTCTTTATGATTTAAATAAGAATAGTTATGTTCTATTGAGAAACATTTATGTATAAGATTTATAATGTGCA